GTGTCAACTTGACACAAGCTGGAGCTATCACTAAGGAGCTTCAGATGAGGAAATACCTCCATGAGATTCGGCTGTAAGGCATTTTCTCAATTAGTGATCAAGGGGCCATTGTGAGTGGTGCCATCCCTGGGCTCGTTGTCTTGGGTTCTATAAGAAAGCAAGCTGAGCAAGCCATTAGTGATTAAGGGGCCATTGTGGGTGGTTGTGCCATCCCTGGGCTGGTTGTCTTGGGTTCTATAAGAAAGCAAGCTGAGCAACCCACGGGAAGCATGCCAGTAAGAAACATCTCTCCATGGCCTCTGCATCAGCTCCTGGTTCCTGACCTGCTTGAGTTCCTGTCCTGACTTCCTTTGGTGATGAACAGCAGTGTGGAAGTGTAAACTAAACCTTTTCCTACCCAACTTGCTTCTTGGTTATGATGTTTGTGCAGGAATAGAAACCCTGACTAAGATACTACTAGACTTCTGTCAGAACATATATAAAGTTACACTCTAACACTAGGACCCTACTACAACTAAAGCCCAGTAATCCCAGAGACTTCAAATTCTAGGCTGGTAATTTGAGTCACTGGATAAAGGCACTTGCCTTTCAGCTTGAGGATCTAGTTTGACCTGTGACCCACACAGAGATTACTGACTTCCTCTAATGGTCCTTTGACCTCCACAGGCACTGACCCCATGGCATGCATGCACACAAAAAAATAAATGTAATTTTTTGAGATAGGTCTCAACGAGCGGTGGTGGTGCACGCCTTTAATCCCAGCACTTGGGAGGCAGAGGCAGGTGGATTTCTGAGTTCCAGGCCAGCCTGGTCTACAGAGTGAGCTCCAGGGCAGCCAGGACTACACAGAGAAACCCTGTCTCAAAAAAACCAAAAAAGAAAGAAAGAAAAAACAGATAAGTCTTACTATGCAGACCTGAAATCACTCTGTAGACCAGACTGGCCTGGAACTCACAAAGACCAGCCTGTCTGATTCCCGAGTGCTTGATTAAAAGTATCCGTCACCATGCCTGCCCATGCAATTTAAAAAAAGATAAAGATCTCAAATCCCAAAATATTTAAAACATTTTTTAAACCTTAGGCTTTACCAAAGCTTGTCTTTTGTTTCTGTTGTCTTTTTTTTCAAATTGCAACTCAACAAGGAAAACAGGTATTTAGCTTTTGTTCACAGAAAGCTGCTCACTTCAAATACATTCCCAAACAGTATCTAAATCAGAGGAAACATGTGTATGTCACAAAATAGTGCAGACAACAATGAGGACACTGGTCATGGTAAGAACATAGTCACCATACTCAGCACCTCTTCCTTCTTCTTGCTTCCTCCTGCACTATTGTAGGATATTGTTTTGTTTTGTTTCCTATTTTAAAAGACAGGGTTCTCATGCATGTCAGGCTGGCCTCCACCTAAGTAGTCACCTCCACCCCTTCAAAGTGCTGCTGTCACAGGTAATAGCAAACCCATTTCTCCTTATTATTGCTACCTCTCTCCAACCTCTTACCTTGTTCTAGAACCACTTGATTCTTAATGATTTATTAATTTGCTTCAAGACAGAAGTCTGTGTACCTTTTGTTGTCCTGAAACAACTCACTCTGTAGACAAGGCTGGTCTCATGAGCTCACAACCCCTGCCCCCTCCCCCCACCCTTTGTGTCTTCCAAGTTCTGGGATTAATAGCATAAGCCATCACAGCAATTTATTAATTTTTATTTTATATGCATTGGTATTTTATCAGCCTGTGTGTCAGTGTGACAGTATCGGATCCCTTGGAACTGGAATTACAGATGTGATCTACCATTTGGGTGTTGAGAATTGAACCTGGTTCCTTTGGAAGAGCAGCCAGTGCTCTTAGCTGCTGAGCCATCTCTTCAGCCCTGCTGAAACCACTTGAAACAGTTCCTCTACAGGTATAACAACTAAGTCTCAACCGCTGTTGCCCAGAACCAGGAAGAAAAAAGATGCTAACATGCTCGTTAGTGAACTGTAGAGGAGATAGTGAAAACGTGCCTCCAGCAGCTAGGCTGTGGCTCATTCTCCTCTTTTAACCTTTGTAGTCTGTTTCAGCTCTCCATCTCAATTCTCAATTCTGTTCCTGGCTCTTTTTGTTCTTTTCTTGGTCATGAAGGCAGAACAATTCCTTTCCTGACACTAAGGAAGTTGCACAGCAAAGACTAGAAAATCCAACTCCCACCAAAAGCAGCATTCACTGCTCAACAATCCAGAAAACCTACAAGTATTCAAGAAATTATCCAGTATCTACTGTGAATGCAATATTCTGACAGCAAGGATGGCCAGGACCTGGCAATCAAAAGTTTAAGAGATGATGCCAAAATGCACAAAAGGATTAAACATAAAGCTGTCAGAAGGCTGAAGTACATCATCTGAAAAAAACACACACACACACACATAGACAGAAAGAGAGACAGACAGACAGACAGAAGAGGGTGGGGAGGAAGGAAAGCTGGAGTAATAGGAAATACCTGTAATCTCCCAACTCAAAGACTAATTTAGGATTTGGGAGGCAAAGCCTGAACTTCACAGCAATTCTGTCTCAAAACAAAAACAAAACAAACAAAACCCTGAAAAACTCAGGCATGCTTCAAGTTCAAGGCCAGCCTAGTCTACATATCAAATTCCACAGAGACCCTATTACAAAAACCACAAACAAAACTATAAAAGGAAAAAAAGAAAAGAGAAAAGAGAGAGGGAAGGATGTAAAGAGCTGGAGAGTTGCTGGGGGGGGGGGTGGTAAAAGTTTTTAGTGGTCTTGCAGAGAGGATCCAAGTATCGTTCCCAGGATCCATATTGAACAGCTATCAACCACGTATCACTCCAGCTCCAACACCTCTGGCCTCAGCCAACTGCAGTCACATGAACATCACAAAAACACACACACACACATATATTCAACTTTAAAAAATGATAAGTCATCTTTAAAAAATTAGAAAATAACCCAGATGGTGGTGGCACATGCCTTTAATTTAGCCCTTGGGAGACAAAGGCAGGAGGATGTCTGTGAGTTTGAGGCTAGACTGGTTTACAGAGCAAGTTCCAGGACGTCCAGGGCTACACAGAAACTGTCTTGAAAAATACAAAAGAAAAAGGTAAAAAGCAATTAGAAAAGGAAGTGTCAGCTTGTGGATCAATACTAGATCGTTTCTTTGATCAAGGTTAGGAAACTCCCACTTATGCAAAGGACTTATAAGTCCTTTTCAAACTCTCAAGTTCTCAAACTGTGCCAGCTTTTCTGTCCCTCTTAAGGCTGTAAGTGGCTCAAACACCAATCCTTTCGATGTTTTGTTTTCAACAGTTTATAACACACACATATGTAAACTATCACACAGATGTTTGTTATATCTAACTTGCCATTTTGCTATTTGTCTTATGAAAGTGATATGGTCAGGCCCTGTAAAGCCTTCCCTTGAGTTATCACCCTTTTCTGTTCTCAGGGCTCTTTATTATCCTGGGTTATTGCTCGTGCTTTTTAACTCAGTGACTCTCTCCTTGAGAGCCCTTAAGGCATTGGTTGAGACCACACTTGTGGTCAAACAATACAGGCATGTGGGGTTTGAGACAGGGTCTCACTTTGTAACTGTGGTTGACTTTGAACTCAGAGATCCGACTGCCTCGGGATGTGTGCACCACCACACCCACCTTTGCTCGACTTTTGAGGAGGACCAAGAAATGTTGGTCAGGACTGCATGTATCCCATGCTGGCTTCAAACAAATTATGTAGTTTGGGGTGATACTGAACTGATTCTGCCTCTATCTCAAGTGCTGGGATTAAAGGCCTGCAGGACCATGCATAGGCCCATAGGGTTTCTTATGCTGGATACCAGACATTATATACAACAATCTTTTCTAGAAATTCATACATGATACACATTGGTATTTCCATTTAAATAACTATAAGAAAATTTGGTTGGCATGTCTTCTTTTCTTTGGTTAGTTGGTTATATTTTAAGATAGTCTTGTATAGTATCAGTCAGCTTTGAACTCACTGTAAACCTGGGGCCCTGAATTTACTGTGATCTCTCCACTGCCACCTCCCCAGTGTCATCATTACATCATTACATAGTTTCAGATGTGTCATCATGCCTAGCCTATCAGTTCTTCTGACTTTCAATCTGGCATTATTTGGGGTACAGGAACATGTATAACACAATATACTCGGAATCAGAGGACAGCTCTCCTCCCACCTTTCTCTGCGCTCCAGAGAGTGATCTGAGGTGGTCAGGCTGTGTACAAGGCCAGGGCTTCTAACCTGCTGAGCCCCACTTGACCCTCAATGCAATCCAGCAAACCCCACAAGGTAATTCATGAAACAAAGTCAACAAAGTAGTAAAGAAGGTAAATGCTCTCATTTTCACATTTTGGTGAACATCTTCCAAAGAAAGCTTACTGGGAAAATGTCTAAGCATTTAAAAGCATTTAGTATCCAAAAGGCAATAACCAGTCTGAGATATAAGATTCAAACAGATGCTGGTCTAAATGGTAAACAAAACAAACCACCCAGCAACTCTTTTGGAATAACTGAGTACAGTCACTTTTTAAAATTTTTACACTGATAATCTCAATTATAACCTCTGAGAACTGTTTAGATAACCACCAGTACACCTTAAATCTCAGCTGGAAGGCACTGATCACGGCAAATCAGGGGATCTGGATATTTTTACCAAGGTTTTATCAAACAGCTGTAGAAAAGACAGTGGTTCAGACACACATCATATCTCATCAAAACTCACAGACCTCCCTTCTGAAACTGCTTTTCTGTCATATACTTCTGATCTTAAATTTATTCTATACCTCCTTTTATCATGGGCACATTTTTATTTTAAAACGAGTAAGTGTAACAAAGTGTCCAAATGATGTGATACACGCATAGGTCTAGGTTTCAAGCTACAAGACCATTCAATCAGTGTGTAAGAGTGATTGGTTAACAACAGATCACCATCCTTCAGTTTCACTTGAGAGGTTACATTTGAACTGGCAGTACTACTCACCTTTAAGACAGAGGCTAAGCTGGTCATATGCTCATGGAGGGCACCCTCCGACTCCTTATAGGTCAAGCAAGTGAACTGATACTCCTCGGGGTCAAAAGCATCAGCCCCCTGCTGCTCCACATCACTGGCTACTCCCACATAGTAGTCCTCTATGTCCCCAGGGTCCTCCTCCTCTTCTTCCTCTTCCTCACAGTTTGGGTCATAGTCCTCTTCATTGCTGTCAGACCCTTGGCTGTTCATGTCCACCGACATCTTAACATCCAGCCAAGTTGCAGATCAGGAAAGCAGTTGCTTTTTTCCCCCTACTCCCAACTTTTATCGTCTTCTCAAATGCATTAGCGTTTTTTTGTCTTCTAAGAGAAAGGAAAAAAAGTATTACTATCTCTCTATGAACAATTAAAGTAGAAATCATTCAACAATCAAAATAACAAAGCCCTGCTCCCACTATAGCCTATCTCAATTCTTTTTTTTTCCTCCCAAGACAGGGTTTCTCCGTGTAGCTCTGGCTGCCCTAGAACTCTCCTGCCTCTGTCTCTGAGTTCTGAAATTAAAGGCATGCTCAGATGCCTATCTCAATTCTCGTTTAATTGAGAACCCCGCCCCTTCCCAGGAATATCCTATCAAGGGAAATCATTTCACCAAGAGACAGAAAAATTATGGAAATGTTAAATCACCTGTAATGTTTAAAGATCTTTCCTGCAGATATCACCCAAACTGTCTGTGTCATAGGATTTCCATCTGAAATGAAAAGAGACAATATTCATATTTTTAGAACTGATACCCTGTTTTCTCAAGTTTATTGTTTTTGTTTCTTTTAAGATAGGTTCTCGGCCGGGCAGTGGTGTCATACACCTTTAATCCCAGCACTTGGGAGGCAGAGGCAGGCGGATTTCTGAGTTCAAGGCCAGCCTGGTCTACAGAGTGAGTTCCAGGACAGCCAGGGCTACACAGAGAAACCCTGTCTTGAGAAAAAAAAAAAAAAGACAGGTTCTCACCACATAATAACTGTCTTGGAACTCTTCTACAGACCAAACTGACCTTGAACTCACAGAGAACCACCTGCCTCTGCTTCTCAAGTGCTGAGATTAACACACATGTCCTGCCATGCCCAGCTGTTTTGCTTCTTGCATTTATACATTTTAAGTGGGTATGGGTACAGGCCACCATGAGTGGAAGTCAGAGAACAGTTGGTGTAAGGTTGTTCTCTCCAACTATTTGAGCTCCAGGGATTTAAAGAAGGTCTTCATGCTGGAGAGAGGGCTCTGGAGTTAAAGACTATTGACTGTTCTTCCAGAGGTGCAGAGTTCAATTCCCAACAACCACATGGTGGCTCACAACCATCTGTAATGGGATCGATGCCCTCTTCTGGTGTGTCTGAAGACAGCTATGGTGTACTCAAATAAATCGAAAATAAGTAACTAAATAATAAGAAGGTCTTCAAGGTTGGCAGCAAGAGCTTTTACCTGATGTGCTGTCCCACAATCCCACTTTTTTTTTTTGGTGATAGGATCTTGATATGTACCCTAGGTCTATAGGTATGTGTCACTACACCCAGTTTGCAAACTAGTACTACTTATCTAGCAGTAGGAGGACTGAATTCAGCATCTCACACAGAGCTAACTAGGTAAGCACTAGTTACTGAGCACAAACTAGGTCAAGCCCCCTACCCCGAAACCCAGACCCATACTCTAAGTAGCTCTGGCTGACCTGTAACTGTGTAGACCAAGCTGGCCTTGAACTCACAGACATCAGACTGCCACTGTCTCTGCCTCTGCCTCTTGAGTGCAGGGATTATAAGTATGCACCACATGCCCAACCCTTTTTGGAACAAGGTCTTACTAAGTTGATAAAGCAAGCCACAAGAAGGTACCAGTGCTTCATTTCCACCTTGTTTGAGGTAGGGGTTGTTTTACCAATGCATAAAACAGGTTAGTTGGCCTAAGACCTGCCATGGAGTCTCCTGTCTCCACCTCACACAGTTGAGGAATACTGGAATTACACACTTCAGTGCCTAGGTTTACACTGTGGCACATGCCTGTAATCCTGTAACTTGTGAAGTGGAAGGAGGATCAGGGTCATCAAACTGCCTCCAACTTTACAATCAAAACGCACCTAATCAGGCAACTGTAGTATCCATCTCCAACTTTACTCTGTGACCATGAACATAAGCTACTCCTGGAACATGGTCCCCGAATGGAACTGTGTGAGAATTCTGAGTGCTTGTAAGAAAACTCCTATAAAATAGATTCTTATGACCTCAGTTTCTTCACAACATGGAATTGTTCTTGGAATGCATTCTCCTGCTCCTCCCAAATGTAGCTTCTTAAAAGTTTACTCACGGGCTGGAGAGATGGCTCAGCGGTTAAGAGCACTGACTGCTCTTCCAGAGGTCCTGAGTTCAAATCCCAGCAACCACATGGTGGCTCACAACCATCCGTAATGAGATTGGATGCCCTCTTCTGGTGTGTGAAGACAGCTACAGTGTACTCATCAATACAATAAATAAATAAATATTAAAAAAAAAGTTTACTCACTGTTTGTAGTTATCCAATTAACTGTGTAAACTATCCACATTTGGCTGGTCCTTGTGATCTTACACAGCTTGAACTCATGAGAACTTTACTATACGGTTTCTCTTAACCCTTAGAGTATAAATGCTCTGAATAAAGTTGGCTATTTTTTTTGTTTTTGTTTTTTTTTTTTTGGTTTTTCGAGACAGGGTTTCTCTGTGTAGCAGTGGCTGTCCTGGAACTAACTCTGTAGACCAGGCTGGCCTCGAACTCAGAAATCCACCTGCCTCTGCCTCCCAAGTGCTGGGATTAAAGGCGTGCGCCACCACCGCCCGGCTAAAGTTGGCTATTTAATGAGACTTTTGTCTCCCTCATTTTTCAGGTCCCACTGACTCTAGAGTAGTAAACATGCTACCATGCCCAGTCACCTCATATTCCAAAGGCCACCTGGCTTTTCTAGATACATGGATCCTGCTATACAGGACTTGTAAAATATTACATTATTTTCTTTTTATGTTCATTGCTCTTCTCTTTAGGATTTCTTGGGCAACCAGAACTTATAACTGCCAAAGAATATTTCAATTACAGATAGGAAAATACAAATTAATTAAAAATCAAAGTCCAAACAAGTACCATGGAAAATTATTTCCCAAATAATGGAATAGCCAGACATGGTGGTGCACTGGAGGAGGAGGGGGGGCAGAAGCAGGTGGATCTGAGTTTGAAGCCAGCCTGATCTACAGAGCTAGCTCCAGGACAGCCAGGGGTACAGAGGGGAAAGAAAAAAAAAAGGGTGGGGTGGGGAGGGAGGGGAATGGACTTACAATGGCCAGGTGAGGTGGTGCAAACCTACACCTTTAGTCCAGAATTTGGGGAGCCAAAGACTGGCAAATTCAGTGAGTTGCATGATGAGATCCTGTCTCAAACAGAGGCTTACAAATGAAGCTGGAATTTATAATGGCGAAGTATCCTCCCTAGGCTCACACAAAGCCAACTGGCAAAGGCAGTATCAGAATTACATTCTAAGAAGATTCTAGCCATCACTCTCAGGGAGCCTGATTGAAAGCTACAGAAATCTGACTAACAAAAGAGCATACCCTTTCAAATTCTGAGTTCTCCTTAGGATCTGTCCAGAATATGGCTCAGAGCTTTTTCACCAACCAAATATTCAAGTAGATGGGAATCCAGGTTCTCTAAAAGAATTGACTCTTTTATATACTTCCTGGTGTTCTAGATTCAGATCTAAATAAAGCTTTTTTAAAATAAAAATTTTAAAAACACATATTTTTGAGACAAGGTCTCACTATGAAGACCAGGCTGACTGTCCTCAAACTCACAGACCACAGCTCCTGAATGCCGAGACTAAAGGTGAGAGAGAACATTCGGCTGTTAAGAGATTCCTGAAGGAGTGCTGGCCTTGCTGAGCTTGATGGCACATTCTGGGATCCCCAATTTAGGAGTTTCAGTAGGAGGATCAAAAGAGGAAGACTAGTCTGGGCTACACAGCAAGACACTGTCTCAAAATACAAGCACACAAGAATTTGAGTCCTAACTTGGTTCAAAGGGCGAATGTGTTATTTTCTTAATGTCAGAAAGTATTCAAGATGTTAAATATGTCTGCTCAGAGAGGAATGGTACAAAATTCACACTTTTTCCAAGAGTCAAAGTCATCTTCAAAAAACCTGACACTAATTTTGAGCTGGCTTCCAAGACATGGCCACATACAAAAGGATAAAGATCTCTCAGTTTGAAGTTGACAAGAACACAAAAATTTGGCTAGTCTAACAGATGTTTAACTGCAGTTGTAACACTTGGCCCTCAGTGGTCATTTATTAACTATATTTTCGAAGAAAACTTCTTGGCTGAAAAATATGAATCAGCAACTTGTTTAAAAACTCGGCAGCGTCCCGGGCGTGGTGGTGCAAGCCTTCAATTCCAACACTCGAGAGGTAGAAACAGGGTGAGTTCGAGGTCTGCCTAGTCCACGGAGTGATTCCTTGACAGCCGTGACTATGTAGAGACAGTGTCTAAAAACAACAAACTCGACACCGCATCTGTCCTAATAATGGCACGTAACCACCAATTACATGGAGTTATTTAAAGTTAATTTACTTTAAAAAGTAAGTAAAGTTTAGTTTCTCAGATATACTAACTACATGTCAACACTAAGCAGCTATGTGTGGCTTAATGGCTACCATACTGAACAGCAAAGGTCTAGAACGTGTTCGTCGCGACCTAAAGTTCTATGAGACAGAGTAACAGAACTAAGGCGAGCTCGTCCGAGAACACTACCGCCTCTCTTGAGGCTAGACCAGAGGCGTCGGGCGTGACCGCACGTCTCTCCGATGAGCCCTGGTCTTCAGGAGATCCGCGAGGACACGGAACCCACGCGCAGGGAGGACCTTTCACAGGACGGGCGTTAACAAACAGTGCAGCCGGCGCTGCAAAAGCTCCCAAACACGACATAAATCAGGAGCCTCCAAGTGGTGCGTTTTCCTAGAGCGCCCAGAAGTGCAGGCCCAAGTGCACCGGCGCCTGCGGGCCAGAGGCTCTGGCCTCCGACCTCTCGGTGAGCCAAAGAGGCAACGAGGAAGAGAAACCGAGGAGAGACACCGGGCGCCCGCCAACGCCGGCTGTTGCCTCCGGGAGTGTCCATCGGTCGGCGAGGAACGTCGGGACTTGGGACGCCCCGGCCTCGCAGGCGGCGGCGAAGGCGGAGCCCCGACCGCGCCGGAGAGGCGCGCGGTCCCCCCCCCTCCCTGAGGCGGCCAGTCAAGAGTAAACAAGGCCTCGACTCACGCCGCACACTTACCGGGAGCCGCGACCTCACGGCCGCAGAACTCAAGCCGGCCAGACCAGGTCAAGCCAGACCAAAAGAGTCTGACTGAGGCGTAGCGGCAGCGGAGGCGGCCGGCGGACCCGGGTCAGGCCCCCGCTGCTTCCTCCGGCAGAGCCGTCCCCGCAGCTCCGGAAGTGTTCTGCACAGCGCGTCACTTCCGGTAGGGGTCGGACTGCGGTCGTCGGTGAGGCTAACAGGCTTCTGACAAATGCGTAGTGGTAGGAGTTGCTTTCTCGCGGTCCTATGTTGAGACCCACCGGGAGAAATTACTGAGCATTCGTTTTTGAAGGAATGATGTAGACATTTGTTTCCTGCGTTACCCTACCAACGTCTTTATTCGATATATATTTTTAAGTTTTCTTACTTTTATTTTGTGTGTGTTCCACGGCTCGTGTGTAGAGGTCAGACGGCAATTTTCGGGGTCAGTTTTCTTCTTCCACCATGTGGGTTTCAAGGATCAAACACTTGTCAAGCTTGGCAGTAAGCGCTTTTTTACCCACTGAGCCATCTATCAAGGCCCTTAGTTGAGATCTTTTTAACTTTTTTTTTTTCTGACCAGCCGTCTCCTCACTTTGTTTGTACTCTGATGTACAGTATGAGAAGACATTCTGACAACACTTGGAGTAGATTAAAGGATCATAGTTTCTGGACAACTATAGTTTGACATGAGCTATACTCGGAATTTCTACGTATGTTAGGAAGAAGTTCCGGCCCGTGAGCGTCAGACTGGTTTCTTATGACTAGCCACCTACTTCTCCACTTCCACTCACCTTACACGACGGATATTTTTTGTTTTATTTAGTTGTATTTAGAAGCAACTCACTATATAGCCAAGGCTGGTTTGCCTTGCTGCTAGATTACCAGACCCAGGGATTCATACATCTTTTGTTGGTGGTGGTGGTGGTTTTTTGTTTGTTTGGTTAGTTTTTTTGTTTTTGTTTGTTTGTTTGTTTGTTTGTTTTGGTTTTTCGAGGCAGAGTTTCTCTGTGTAGCCCCTGGCTGTCCTGGAACTCACTCTGTAGACCAGGCTGGCCTCGAACTCAGAAATCCGCCTGCCTCTGCCTCCCAAGTGCTGGGATTAAAGGCATGCGCCACCACTGCCCGACTTTTTACTTTTTTTTGTAAAATTAAAGATAATTACTGATTACGTTCCCCTGGCTGCATTGCTGGGCAGTCTAAAACTTATTATGTAGACCAGGCTGGCCTGGAACTTGCAGTGATTTCCCTAGCCTTTGCCCCACAAATACTATTAATTCTTCTACTAGATTAGAGACTGTTAAGATTTGATTACCCGATTTTGGTACACGACTCAAATTTTATATATTTTAAGTAGAGAGCGTGGGTATCCACACATGTAAGTTTGTGAGTTTCAGGTCTATAGAGCTTCAGGTTATCCAGGGATTTATAGTGAGACCTTTTCTCAAAAAGATTTTTTTAAATTTTTTTGTTTACGTATATATGTGTGCTGGAAGAGGTCCAAAGAGGGCTTCAGATCCCCTGGAGCTGGAGTTACAGGACATTATCAATAGTAGGAATGGAACACAGGTTTCCAGAGAGAACAGCAAGAGCTCTTAATGGCCCACCCAACTCCCAAGTCTCCTATGTTATATTTTTTCTAAGAATTACATAAGTCTATTATATAGTCTTTTTTTTCTCTTTTTTTTTTTTTTTTTTTTAAGATTTATTTATTTATTTTATTTATGAGTACACTGTCGCTGTCTTCGGACACACCAGAAGAGGGCATCCAATCTCATTACGGATGGTTGTGAGCCACCATGTGGTTGCTGGGATTTGAACTCAGGACCTCTGGAAGAGCAGTCAGTGCTCTTAACCGCTGAGCCATCTCTCCAGCCCCTAGTCTTTTTTTTCTTTCTGCCTCATTTTTCCGGGTGTCTTGAATACCAATATATACACTCAAGAAAAGGTAGAAATAGGTTATCTACAGATTTGCACAAGCATTTACCTCACAGCAACTCTGGCTTCACATCAGTATTAACATCTCGGTGTAGCTGCTTCTCGAGTGAGCATCCTTCCAATTCACAAGGCTTGGTGACCAATACTAGAAAGGGACTGGAGTCCTAATGTGGTCTATATCATGGGTATAAATTGTGCAGCGAAACATTTAAGATGTATGAATCCAGCTGGGCAGTGGTGGCGCACACCTCTAATCCCAGCACTTGGGAGGCAGAGGCAGGCGGATTTCTGAGTTTGAGGCCAGCCTGGTCTACAGAGTGAGTTCCAGGATAGCCAAGGCTACACAGAGAAACCCTGTCTCGAAAAACCAAAAAAAAAAAAAAATAAAAGCAAAACAGTCGGGCAGCCTGCTCTATGAATCAAGTTCCAGGCTAGCCAGGGCTACACAGAGAAACCTTATCTATAAATAAATAAATAAATAAATAGCAAGCAAGATCGAGCAAGCAGACTGAGCAGTCCATGGGATTAAGCTAGTAAGCAGTGCTGCTCCCCCCTTAGCCCTGCTTCAGTTCCTGCCTCGAGGTTGCTGCCTAAAGTTCTTTTCTAATTTCCTTCCATAAGGAACTATAAGCTGGAAAGTGAGATAGGTTTTTTCCTCTCCAAAATGTTTTGAGTCATGGTCTTTATCACAGCAATAGAAAGCAAATTAGGACAAGCAATGAACTTGGGTACTAAAATTGACAAAACATATCTATGTAAATCATGATGATTCTGGCAAAGGATCCAAATCATATTTTCCGAAAACTAATTTTCAGCTATCACTTTGAATTACTGGTAACAGATCCACTCCAGTGAGTACTAGAGAGGAATGGTCTGTCTATAGAAGCCTTACGCCTGCTAACTACAGAACGTAAGTAGGTGCTCACTTATCAAGTCCCGTTTTATAGGAGAGACTTCATATAACCTTGGATTTTGGTTTAGAGTCCCGGGACCAATTCCAGCCCCCTTTCACTACAGGTACTGTGAGACAATTGTCCTCAGAATTCCAATACCTCCCACGCACACACCCTTGATAGTGACTAAGAGCACTTCTGCTCTTGCAGAGGACCTGAATTCAATTCCTAACTCCCACATGTAGGTTCAGGACTGCCTTTTTCTAGCCTCCACAGGCTCAAGTACAAACGTGGTACACACATACAACAAACAGCTCACACATACACATATTTTTCAAAAGTTTAGACTCCCTCTCAAGCTCTAGTACGACAACATAAAATGGCTCACCTACAATCTTCTGAGCTTACACATGCCATACCATAGGTATATATGGCTTTTTAGTGTCCTTGTAAAACACCAAGGTTTGAATCAACATCATGAAGTTCAACCCAATTTTGTGGCACGATACTACACCTTAAACCTGACCAAGGTACCCACAGAGCTGAATGAGGGCTGTGACCATGAGAGACATCACTACAAGACAGTACATCTCCATTGTTCTGCAGAGAGCTGCTCAAAATGGTGGGCTAATAACAGGGAGAGCATATTAATAGTAGGAATCTTTTCTAAAATGATTTTCTCCTGGGCCTTGCCTATGGAAGCAAATCTGTCCTGGATTATTTTAATCTGAGGCAGACCATTTCCAGAAGATTACCTGCTAGTTTAAAAAAATTAGCTTGTCTTATGATGGTTTCTGATGTGTGTGTGTGTGTGTGTGTGTGTGTGTATGTGTGTTATTGGATCTCTATGAGTTGAAGGCCAGCCTGGTTTATAGAGCAACTTCCAGCCCAGCCAGGGCTACACAGAGAAACTCTGCCTCAAAAACAAAACAAAAAACTTTTTAAAAATTAGGAAAATCGGGATGGAGAGATGGCTCAGTCATTAAGAGCAGTGACTGTTCTTTCAGAGGTCCTGAGTTCAAGTCCCAGCAACTACATGGTGGCTCACAACCATCTGTAATGAGATCCAATGCCCTCTTATGGTGTGTCTGAAGACAGCGACAGTGTACTCATATAAGTAAAATCTTAAAAAAAAAATTAGGAAAACCCTCAATCAACGTACTGTATTAGTCAGGGTTCTCTAGAGTCACAGACCATATGGGTAGTCCCTATATAGTAAGGGAATTTGTTGATGGCTACAGTCTGTTGTCCAACTCCCCAACAAAGGTCAGCAGCAGCTGTGAATGGAAGTCCCAGGATCTAGCAGTTGCTCAGTCTCACAAGGCAAGCAGGTGAAGAAGACAGTCTTCCTTCTTCCAATGTCCTAGTGTAGGTCTCTAGCAGAAGGTGTGGCCCAGATTAAAAGTGTGTACCGGGGGCTGGAGAGATGGCTCAGCGGTTAAGAGCACTGACTGCTCTTCCAGAGGTCGTGAGTTCAAATCCCAGCAACCACATGGTGGCTCACAACCATCCGTAATGAGATTGGATGCCCTCTTCTGGTGTGTCCGAAGACAGCGACAGTGTACTCATAAATAAAATAAATAAATAAATCTAAAAAAAAAAAAAAAAAAAAAGTGTGTACCAACAGCCTGGATCTGAGACTTGCTTTGTCCCAGATGACCTTGAATTCAAAGATCTCCTTGCCTTAGTCTCCTGGAATTAAAAGTGTGTACTACCTTGCCTGGGCCTAAGCTTTTCATAGCCACTGTTCCTCAAGATCAGAATCACAGGTGAGCCTTCCTATTCTGGATTGTAGTTCATTCCAGGTATAGTCAAGTTGAGAACCAGGAATAGCCAACACACACACACACACACACACACACACACATGCACATATAATGGGCAGAAGATATAGGCAGGAGAAATGGCTTAGCACTTAAAAGCATTTACTATTGAAGAAGATCTAGGTTTGAGTCCCAGCACCCATGTGGAAGCCCACAACTATCTGTAACTCCAGTTGCAGGGAACTGATGCCCTCTAATGGGCTGTGTGGCACTGTATGGAGGTGATGGACATACATGTATGCGTGCAAAACATGTAAATGAAAAACACTTGTTTAAATCCCCCTCCCCAAAAATGTGGAGATGGTACATGGCACGTCCATTTAATCCCTGCACTGGAAAGGCAGAAGCAATTGGATCTCTAGGAGTTCAAGGTCAGCTTGCTCTACAGAGCAACTTCCACCCCAGCCTGGGCTACACAGAGTAACTCTGCCTCAAAAACAAAACAACAAAAAACTTGTGAAAATTTTCAAAACAAAACAAAACAAAACAAACAAACAAACGCCGGGCGGTGGTGGCGCATGC